ATTTATTTATTTATTTATTTATTTATTTATTTATTTATTTATTTATTTATTTATTTATTCAGGTTTGTTTAAAGCTTCCTTCGGGGCTGCGGGCGACGCGCAGCTTTGCTGCTGCTGCTGCTGTTGCTGCTGTTTACAGCTGGGCAGCAGCGCTTGCGGAATATTTGGAGGTCTTGTTTTGTTATTTATTTATTTATTTATTTATTTATTTATTTATTTATTTATTTATTTATTTATTTATTTATTTATTTTATTTAATTAATTTAATTTAATTAATTAATTTAATTAATTTAATTAATTTAGTTTAATTGGTTTAAATAGTTTTGAGTTGGTTAATTTGGGTTTTTCGTTTTTTGAATCTTTGAAGATTATTTTTCTTTTTATTTTTATTTTTTATTTTTTATTTTTTAAATTTATTTATTTTCTGATATGCTTTTCTCATTTATACTTTCTTTCATGTTTGTTTTTAACTTTTAATTTTATTTATTTTTAATTTTACTTTCTAATTTTTCATTTTTATTTTTTATTTTTATTTTTTATTTTTATTTTTTATTTTTTATTTTTTCAGGATCCTTCAATTTGCATTCCTGCGAACTTCGATTTGGTTTTGTCTCCTTATAAAGTCCTCCCCAGAGTAAACCCTAAACCCTAAACCCTAAACCCTAAACCCTAAACCCTAAACCCTAGCAAACCCTAAACCCTAAACCGCCGCAAACCCTAAATCGTAGTAAACCCTAAACCCCAGAGTGGCCTAAACCCCAGCGAGGTTTAAACCCAGCAAGCCCTAAACCCTAAACCCTAGCAAACCCTTAACCCTAGCGCAGCCTAAACCCTAGCAAACCCTAAACCCTAAACCCTCGCAAACCCTAAACCCTAGCAAACCCTAAACCCCAACAAACCGTAGACCCTGCGACCCAGAACCTCTTGAGTGGGCTCCATCCAGTGGCAGCAGCAGCAGCTGCTGCAGCAGCTGCAAATGCAGCTGCAGCAATAGCAGCAAATGCAGCAGCAGCACCAGTAACAAGTGCAGCAGCAGCAGTAACAAATGCAGCAGCAGCAGCAGTAACAAATGCAGCAGCAGCAGTAGTAACAATTGGAGAAACTACAGCAGCAGCAACTGCAGCAGCAGCACCAACCCCGGCAGCTGCGGCAGCAGCAACTGCAGCAGCAACTGCAGCAACTGCAGCAGCAGCAGCAACTGCAGCAGCAGCAGCAGCAGCAGCTTTGCATGCATGTCTTTGTGTTTAGGAGGGGACTTTGGAAGATTTGGGGCTTTGCCCCAATTGCGTTTTGCTGCTAATTGAAGTGGAGTCAGAGACTGAGAGCGACGCCTCAGAGAAGTAGCTGCTGCTGCTGCAGTTGCTGCTGCTGCTGCAGTTGCTGCTGCTGCAGTTGCTGCTGCTGCAGCTGCTGCTGTTGGTGCTGCAGCTGCTGCAGGTGCTGCTGCTGGAACGGCCGCAGCACGTTCCAGAGAGTGTGGCGGCCACTGCTGTTTGTGCTGCAGTGGCAGCAGCAACGGCAGCAGCAGCAGCAGCAGCAGCTGCTGCTGCTGCTGCTGCTGCTGCTGCAGAGGTGGCTGTTTACATAGAGACAGCAACCGCAGCAGCGCCTGCTGTTGTAGCTTCTAATATTGCTGCTGCTTCAGTAGCTGTGTTGCTGCTGCGGCAGCGCCCTCCAAGAGCAGCAGTAGCAGCAGCAGCAGTAGCGGCAGCAGCAGCAGTAGCAGCAGCAGCAGCAGCAGCAGCAGTAGCAGTAGCAGCAGTAGCAGCAGTAGCAGTAGCAGCAGCAGCAGCAGCAGCAGCAAACCCCCGCGGGTGCTAATAGGAAGAGCCCGAAGTGCTGCTTCAAACTATCTAAGGCAACCGCCAGGGGCAGACACACGAGCTGCTGCTGCTGCTGCTGCTGCTGAAGGAAGAGCAGCAGCAGCAGCAGCAGCAGCAGCAGCAGCAGAGCAAATGAGTGCTGCCGAACTGCGTCCGTCGCAAGGGGAGTTGTTCGTTGCAGCTTTTTTCTCTTCTTTATATTTTCATTTATAATTATTTATATTTATTTATTTATTTATTTATTTATTTATTTATTTATATATTTTAATTGTTTGTTTATTGTTCGTTCGTTGACTTAGTTTGCGTCTCAATTGGCGCTGCGGGCGTCGGGGGCTGCGCGGCTGCAGAGGAGGAGGCGGCAGGGGGGGAATTTGCGGGAAAAAGACTAAATTAGGAAATAAATGAAAAGAGGATAAAAAACAAAAAAGAAAATGAAATAAATGCGCGAAAAACAAACGAAAAATGAGCAATAATTGCTAGGAAAACGTTGCTGGCGGCTTGGCGGTGGAAATGCGAGGCGCGGCTCGCGCCTGCTGCTGCTGCTGCTGCTGCTGCTGCTGCTGAAGCCGTTTTTTTTGCTTTAAATGGACTATTTGAGTTTATTTGTTTGTTTTGTTTTATTAAAAGGTGTAAAAAGAAGAAAAGACTTAAAAGAGCCGCCCCGGGCGCCGCGGCTGCTCGCGTCCGCCGAGCAGCAGCAGCTGCTCACCGTGAGGTCTGCCGCGGCCAGCACACCAGCCGCCAGCAGCGGCGAACCTCCCGGCCCAAAAAGAAGTCCTTTTTCTCCTTTTTTTCGACCAAAACTGTTTTATATTTCATTTAAATGCCATTTCACGATCAAAAGGGGGAAAAACGGGGGAAAACGAGCTGTTTTAGGCCCCTTCGGCGTGCCCGGTGAGCCGTGGCAGCGGCCGCGAGCAGACACGCAGCCAGCCCGCTGCTGCTGCTGCTGCAGCTATTTAAAAGTGTTTTTCGCCTTTTTATTTATTTTTATTTCATTCTTTTTGAAAAAAAACGAGACAGACTGCCCCGCCGCGAGCCCTTGCTGCTGCTGCCGCCGCCGCCGCTATTTCGACCAGCAAGCAGCAGCAGCAGCAGCAGCAGCAGCAGCAGCAGCAGCAGCGGCAGCAGCAGCAGCAGCAGCAGCAGCAAGTAGCCAGCTGCCTGTCTCCTTCAGATTCTCCGTCTCCCTTTCTAATTAAAACAGCTAAGGGCCTCCGAGGCTCAATGGTGCCCATTTTGCCTTGTCTCCTCTCTCTTTAAACAGCAGCAGCAGCAGCAGCAGCAGCGGCAGCAGCAGCAGCAGCAGCAGCAGCAGCAGCCAATTGTCTCTGGCTTTCTTCTCCGCTTCTTCTGGAAACCAAGCAGCTTCTGCGCCGCCAGCGGCCAAGGACTTGGGACAGTGAATTCAGGGTTTAGGGTTTAGGGTTTAGGGTTTAGGGTTTAGGGTTTAGGCACAGCCGCATGTTGTTCGCTGTGCCCGCCTGTATCTACACACTGGCTTACCAGCAGCAGCAGCAGCAGCAGCAGCAGCAGCAGCAGCAGCAGCAGCAGAAGCGGTGACTCACTGCGTTGGCAGCAGCAGCAGCAGCAGTGGTAGCCCACTGTGTCGAGAGCAGCAGCTGCAACGACTGTAGCAGCAGCAGCAGCAGCAGCAGCAGCAGCAGCAGCACATTATTGCTGCAGACTGCGACGCCCGCGACTTCTGCTGCTGCTGCTGCTGCAGCAGAGCGCATGTGAGCTTACTCTGAGGTGTATGCACACCTTGTATACTCCCGTTGCTGCTGCTGCTGCTGTTGCCGCTGCCTCTGCTGCTGCTGCTGCTGCTGCTGCTGCTGCTGCCTCTGCTGCTGCTGCTGCCGCTGCCCGCCGTCTACGGACATCTGTAGTCCCTCCAAAGCCAGAAGGGACCAGCCACACGCTGCTTTTGCTGCTGCTGCTGCTGCTCCTGCTGCTGCTGTCTAGAAGGTGGCACACTTTTCCTGCTGCTGCTGCTGCTGCTGCTGCTGCTGCTGCAGGCTGCTGCAGCAAACTCTCCCAGGAGCTGCAGGGTCAGCAGCGCGGTGTCTGTACACCTTTTTATCATTTCAGTAGCAGAAGATTTAACTGAAGTTGAGATGGAGCCACAAATGCAGCAGCAGCAGCAGCAGCAGCAGCAGCAGCAGCAGCAGCCGCAACAGCAGCTGCAGGAGCAGCCACAGCAGCAGCCGCAGCAGCAGCCGCAGCAGCAGCCGCAGCAGCGCAGCAATACCGTGTGTGGTGCAGGAAAGCAGCAGCAGCAGCAGCAGCGCGAGCAGCAGCAGCAGCAGCAGCAGCAGCAGCAACAGCAAAATATGGCTGCCCTCCATGGGGCTTCGCCGCCCTCCATGTGTTACCCGGAACCCTTGCAGCAGCAGCAGCAGCAGCAGCAGCAGCAACGCGAACAGCAGCAGCAGCAACGCGAGCAGCAGCAGCAAGAGCCACAGCAGCAGCAGCAGCACGAGAAGCAGCAAATGCCCGCGGCGAATGATAAGTGTGCAGTGTTCCCGGCTGCATCGAGCAACGGCCGCAGCAGCAGCAGCAGCAGCGGCAGCAGCAGCAACAGCAGCAGAGTCGCTGCAGCAGCAGCAGCAGCAAAACTACCTGCTGCTGCAGGAGGAGCAGCAGCACAGCAGCACCTGCAGCGGGAGCACCACCATGGCTATGTGGCTTCTGCTGCTCCTCTCCTTGGCGCGGCTCACGCAGCAGCAGCAGCAGCAGCAGTTGCTGCAGCAGCAGCAGCTGCTGCTGCTGCTGGGAAGGGCCCCCCTGCCCCCTCCTTGAGGGGCCCCATCGGCCGATCTGCTGCTGCCTTCAGCAGCAGGAGCAGCAGCGGCAGCAGCACAAACAAGCAGCAGCAGCACCACCCGCGCCAGCGGCAGCAGCAGCAGCAGCAGCAGGAGCCGCAGCAGGAGCAGGAAGACCTCCAGCCGCAGCAGCAGCATCTGCAGCAGCAGCATCTGCAGCAGCAGCATCCGCAGCAGCAGCAGCACGGCCGCAACAGCTGGTCTTCAGGGGGCCCCTCCCGCTTCCACACTGGGGGCCCCCCCTCCAGCAGCTACTCGCGCCGCAGCATCAGCAGCAGCAGCAGCAGCAGCAGCAGCAGCAGCAGCAGCAGCAGCAGCAGCGCAGCTTCCTTAGTAGGCGCCGTGGGCGGTCCATCTCTCCGTCCGCCGGGGGCCCCGCTGGGCGCCCCCTCGGGGGCCCCCCCGGGGGGCCCCCTGGGGGGGCCCCCCAGTTAGTGAGTCGGGTGAAGATGTGCCCGTGGTACCCTGAAGGCCGCTGCAGTTTTGGGCCGCAGTGCAGCTTCGCCCACAGCGAGCGGGAACTCCGCAGCGGCAGCAGACTCCGCTGCCACTTGGGGGGGGGCCCCCTG